ATGATGTGAATATCATAATATAAAGTTGTGAATTGTTGAGATAAACATTTTTGCTTCAGTAATTTATAATAAAATATTGATCGTTAAAGAGTTATTGTTCAAAGACTTTCGGCCCCCCCTCAGCCCCTATTTTGAGGGGCCAGCCCCTTTTTCTTCATATCACTTTAACGCTCTCATGATTTTGAACACTTTTTGTTCAACAACTAGTCAGAAATTCTTTTTCGTTTCCGAGATATTTGCAAAAGAAGTATTTAGGGGCCGGCCCTTCAACTCCTTAATGGGGGACGTTAAGCAAAAAATGAAAGGTTGCATATTGTTGAGAACATTATTTTGAACATCTTTTATTCAATATTGCTTATCAAAATATTTCCTACTTTTAAGATATAGAGCGTCAAAGATTTAGCATTCTGGCCCCTTATGACCCCTAATTATGTAACATATGATGTGAATATCATAATGTGTAGTTGTAAATTGTTGAGATGAACATTTTTGCTTAAGTAATGCATTACAAAATATTGATCGCTAAAGAGTTATTGATCAAAGACTTTCGGCCCCTCTCGGCCCCTATTTTTAGGGTCCAGCCCCTTTTTCTTCATATCACTTTAAAGCTCTCATGATTTTGAACACTTTTTGTTTAACAACTAGTCAGAAATTCTTTTTTGTTTCCGAGCTATATGCAAAAGATATATTTAGGGGCCAGCCCTTCAACTCCCTAATGTGGAAGTTTAGCAAAAATTGAAAGGTTGCATATTGTTTAGAACATTATTTTGAACATCTTTTGTTCAATATTGCTTATCAAAATATTTCCCACTTTCGAAATATAGCGTGCCAAAGATTTGGCATTCTGGCCCTTTATGGCCCTTAATTATGTAACATATGATGTATATATCATAATATATGGTTGTAAATTGTTAAGATAAACATTTTTGCTTCAGTAATGTATACAAAAATATTGATCGTTAAAGAGTTATTGATTTAATACTTTTGGCCCCTCTCGGCCCCTAACATGACAAGTCAGCCCTTTATTCTTGATATCATATTAAAGATCTTGTCATTCTGCACAAATATTGTTCAGTATGTTTTTACAAAATAATTATACTTTAAAAGATATGATACAAAATGTCTCAAAAATTCACCCATGATTCATGTCCTAAATTTCGACCCCTACCGAGCTTCCATACTAGGCACTTCGGAAAATATCCTAACCCAGGTGCAAAATGGCAACATGTCCTCTATCATCACTGAAAATTTCAGCGCTCTAGCTTTAGCCGTTTTTGAGTTCCATCGCAGACAACGAGGTCCTCTGAATTTTGATAAAAGGGCGATAACTTCCGACCGGAAGTGATTTTTCAAATTTTAAAATGCCGGTACAAACTTCAGATGATAAGACATAAACTCTGAAAATTTGAAGTAAATCGATCAATTCATCTCCGAGAAATCTTCTGCACAAAATCGGTAAGGAGAAAAAAAAGAAGAAGAATAATAAAAGTGAAAAAGAAACATAAGAATAATAGAAGGGTCTTCCGCTGAAGACAGAAGACCCTAATAAAGGTGAAAAAGAAACCGAAGAATAATAGAAGGGTCTTCCGCTGAAGACGGAAGACCCTAATAAGAAAATTGAAAAAGAAACATAAGAATAATAGAAGGGTCTTCCGCTGAAGACGGAAGACCCTAATAATAATAAGAAGAAGCTTGAAAAAGAAACATAAGAATAATAGAAGGGTCTTCCGCTGAAGACGGAAGACCCTGATAAATAAAAAGAAAGAGAATCGTCCGGAGATTGAATCCGGGCCTCTCGCTTGCTAAGTGAGAAACATACCACTAGACCACGGAGGCACTTTACATCCAATTAAATGCTAAAACAGACAGAATTTATGAATTTATGACCTTGGCCTTTGACCTTTTGACCTCAAAATAAATAGGGTTCTTTTTTAGGCCATAGGGAGATGCTTTGCAAAATTTCATTGCAAAAGCTCAAAGGGTTGTCGAGATGTCGTGCGGAAACGAAAGTGTTACAGACAGACAGAAATAGAGATAGACGGACAGACAGACGGACGGACAGACAGACCCAAATTAATATCCCCCATTTTCAGTGAAAGCGGCGGACAATAAAATCTTTTGAGACGACAAATGTTTGTTTTTCTTTTAATTATTTGTCCCATTGTTTTTCATAATACAATATTACTGTGCAGTGTATGTTTGTGGTAGCGACAGAAAAGCAAATCAAAACAAATATGGATGTAAAGAAAAGAAAAAAATAAAGAAAATAAAGAAATGCATGTAAATATTTACCGTCCAGCCTCCCCCCTCTGTTTCCATATCACACACGACATCAGTGGGTTGATCTGTTAATGGCTGTATTGTATATGCCCCTGACGCCCTGATACCACTATCAAATAGTTCTTTACAGTCAAACGCTGAAGATAAAAACGAATACATTGTTCATTGCATCCGCCAGCACAGGTTAACCGTGAATTTCCAGAAAATATTCCTATTAAAGAACTGTTATCAGGTTTGTCGTCAAGTTTGGAATAATCTAAATAAGACTGTGAAATGGACTTTGAGGAAACTATTAGTTTCGGCAAAAGTACAAAGATAATCGTTAATGTCACCAGAACCAAAAACACATCCATAGTTGGGAATAAAGAAGGAGAAATCGGTGATAATTTTAAAACATATTTGTCCTTTTGTATCTAAATCTGCATATGGTTATACCTTTGTCTGTTTGATCGGCATGAAACAATCCGCCCACCTTTCATTGCCTAAGTGGTTGCTTTCTAATTATGAATTGATGGATCTCTCAGTCTGTAGGTAGTTTATGTGATTGTGAAGAAATATTTCAGATATTCGGGTAACGTCTGATTGGGAAATACAGATATGGTATTGAAACCAAATTTATTATAATAAAGTGGGTTTAAATTCCCCAACTTGGAAACTGAAATAAAACTAAACATTAAAAAAAATATAAACACAACCATATTGAAATAATATGTTTTCAGTTTTATTGAATAACGTATCAGGTAACGTCACAGTACCCATTATTGCCGAGTACCCATTATTGCCGATTTACGTTTTTACGATTAAAACTCTATCTAACGGTAGTTTATTTTAATTTTTACGCAAGATACGTATATTACATAATTTTTTCAAGCTACCGAGCGTTCCACAGAAGGAAAAAGTTGTAAAACAAAAATAAACTCACCGGCGACAAAGTCAAACCTTTGAAAACACACACAATAGCAGTCGTGCGACAGAACATGCCATAGGATTTTCGACTAAACGTCCACTTTCATGACAGGATCAGTCATGTTTTGGTCAAAATCCGTTAAATATTTTCCTGTATGCAATGATACTAAACGAAAATATCCAAGATAATATTTCTACTTCACAATATTTCACGAATAGTACGATGTGTACGAAGTGTCTGCTATACGACGCCATTTTTATTGCAACCGGGAGCGGATCAAACATCCACCCCCACGCACCTGTTATAATTATCTCTTTTATAGGTCATTTTTATTTATTGAACTTTGCTATGATCGCTTCCCAATTATGTTGACCATTTTCTAATGTAACATAACAAGATGTATGTGTCTTTTTTTCTTTTCTTTTTTTAAATAATTCTTTGTTATTTATAAATAGGCCTATGAGAAAACAAATACACAACTCTGGATGACATGACTTATGAGAACAAGGACATAACCAGGATTTGTGCTTGAAGGATCAATATACCCTCTTACAAATTGACTCCGATTTTTTTTTTAAACAAAAGAACACTCAAAATAATTATTTTAATAAATAGAATTGTTTTTTTTTTTTTTTTTTTTTTTTTTTTGGGGGGGGGGGGGCACTTTCCTTCAAATGACCCTTTTTCACAGCAACAACCCCAAGTCATTTTCTAGCTACTTTTCCTAGAGACAGAAACACCAGGGTCCGCAGGGTTCAAACCCTCCAGACCCCACTCCACGCCTTAAAATTCAACATAAAATCCCTTCAAATATGAAACACCAGGGTCTACCCTTGGCTACTGACACAAACATGAACTTTAAAAGATATCCAAATAGGAAGAAGACATAGGATAAATTAAAAATTTCAAAATTATTGAACTTTTATATAGTTACATACTTTTTACATGTTTATAAATTGTTGATAAAGTAACAACAACTTTGTAAGAAAAATTAAAATGTTTCCATGTCATTAAATTTGTTTATCTTGTGCATTGTGAAACAAGAAACAACAATGTAGGTAGCGGAGCACAACAACAACCAAAAAAAAAAATAATAAAAAATAAATAAATAAAAACTGGAGAGTTTCTCAGTTAAGCAACATCAAAATATTGTTAACAATTTAAGGGAATTCCATCAATGATTCTCGTCAAACTTCAAAGTCATTAAAAAGATTGTTTCAAACATCAGTGTAATAGTATAAAAACAAGTTATGAATAGTAAAACAATTTTAATATTGAAGTACAGGACACAAAACTTTAAAATTAGTAATATTTGGAAATAAAACTGCATGTAAACAATGCAATTTTAATTTTACAGTCTGCTTTTGAAAAAGGGAAAAATACTTTTAATTAAAAATAAAAACAAATATGCATTGTCATCATATTGTCTACTTCACATATCATAATACTTTCTCGGGCATAATGGACAACCTTACACAATTTTCTGTGTATGTGATATGGTAAATATGACCAAAATAAAAAAAAAAAAAACGGATTGGAAGGCATAAGAAAAAAATATTTTACAGTTACCCAACCAAATCTAAATTACATCTGCAATCTAATTATATTTCTCAGTGAACTTGAAAAATGACTTCTTTTTTTTTTTTTTTTTTTAAAGGGGGTGTCTAAATGTTCAACTGAAGATTCAAAGATTCAAAGTGCAACATGCAGAAGAATTAGAAGTATTAAAGTGTTTACTGCTTATGTACAAATTCTGTACCAAGCATAGCTAAATGATACATGTACACTTAGTTACAGTAATAAATATATACCACACACCAACAATCATAAGGTACCTAGTACTAACACTCACCTAACTTAACGAATTCACTGCTTAAATTTTATACAATGGACATATACTTTTCAACAATTTTAGAATCAAAATATTTAAAATTAACTAGCCTTAAACTATTTGATATACAATTAACATTTGCAACAAATTGATTATTCATGGTATGGAAAAAAAAAAATTAAAATCTGGATGAAAATTAATAACGGTCCTAGTACTACTAATACATTTCTTCACCTACTCTTATTTTTCTATTTTTTGAATACAAAACTGTCAAGCTATTTAAGTCAGCAGCCATAGGCAGAGGGTTGTATGACATCACTGTGGCTCTATTCAACTGCTGTCAACCATTGATTTGGTCAATTGGCAAGGCAAAGTGAGGACATGTGCTTGATATGTGCCTGAAAAAAAAAAGAATTTAAAAATTTAACATCCTCACAATGTCAAGGTTTTGTGATTTCGGAACTCCACACAAACCCTTGACATAAGTCGTTATTTAAAGGTTGGGCTTGTGTTTACACATGCGTAATGGGTAATTTTATTAACTAACCAATGAGAATATAGTTTTCAAATCCGTTGTTATCAAATTGCCCCACTCCAGAGCAAATCTTTTGTGATTGCAAGGAGGACGATTTTTAAAAAATAAATCCCGTATGTTTTATTTACAGTAACTAGTCACAAATCCTACAATATCGACACTTTCCATTTTAGAGGAGTCATATTTGTTTACAAAACTTACTTACAATAAAAGCTGCTCTCTGATTGGTTCTATTCCTGCACAAGGAACAAATGAAATAGCAGGTTTCTAGCCCAACTTTTAAATAAAGACTTACATGTATGTCAAGGGTTTGTTTGAAGTTCCGAAATCACAAAAACCTTGACATTGTGAGGATGAAAATTTACCAGAAATAAAAATTTAAGGGTACACAAAATTTTCCAAAAAAATAAAAAAATAATAAAATAAATAAATAAAATAAATTAGGTAATTCTATTCATAGGTAATTTTATTCAATTAATGAATAAAGATAAGAAAAAAATCTGCTTCCAGAAATATTTGTGAACATTAACAGTGCATACTGCAGCAGTGGATAATTGAACCTTTTTGTTACAGGATCCTACACCCTTTCCATTGGGAAAATTCAAAATCAAAAAAGTGACAAAATTTGGAGATATTTAGGTTTTATATGTTTTGCTGTTGATTAGAGAGTTCAGTTGAAAATGTAAACAATATTCCCATTTGTATGAGTTGTCAAAATCTAAAATTCATTTTTTTTAATATATAAAAAGCACTAAAAAATTAATCTGCTTGTTATTTGGGAAATTTGGCCTACATTTTGGGAAAAAAGAGTAATTGCAGCAAGGACAGGGTCCTTTTACAGGACCTGGATGCAAGGGTTATTAAGCCCTGTGCAGAATAGCTGTTCAGAACCTTAAATATCTTTAAACAAAAATTGTGACAGAAAATAATAATCTGCTACTTGACAAATTCAAAGAGTCTTTCTGGAGTTAATATCTTTAAAATCCAGAGCCATGCCAGTATGTTTGAACATTAATCATTCTTGAACAGCTAAGCCCATAAATGGTCTTTAAGAATAAATTTAGCTGGACAAAAATGCATAACATTAATGATAATTTGTATGTCTCTTCTTTAGAATGATTAGATATGAACATGAGTTACCTTCTGCAATTAAATAGTCATGTATTCCACATCAATTAAGAAGGTCTTCAGAAAGACTACTATTTGTCGGACATCCCTTTTGACACAGTTCGAGTTTAATTTTGGTGATGCTCTGACTAGTAAAATAAAACAATGAAGTAAGGTATACAATTAAATCACAATCTAGATGAAAAAGATGGTTAAATATCCAAATAATTTATGAAGAATAATATATTCAACAAACTTATCATATTTTTAAAAATTGTACTACCTTTGCACATCTCTCATCTTTCTCAAAGAAGACCAACTTGACAGTCACAACATCCTCTGCCATCTTGTGGGTATATTCTGGGAAAGCACCCAATAGTCTTTCAAAATCTTTTTCCAAAAACTTCTGAATTTACACAAACAAGCTCTTTGAGAAAATTGAAGAATCATGCTAAATTCTTGAACATGCATTAAAGGGGGTGGGGGGGGGGGGGTGGTGGTTGTAATTTGTTTCATAAAAAAATATTAAAATTATACCCAATTCACCATTTTTAAATAATTATTGTTAAGAAATATCCAAATGACATAACCTTGACAAAGAAGTGACAATACTATGCAAAACTTCCTAGCTTGCAGTTTGAGAGCATATAACAGGTGCTAGGTGCAGGTGCGTGTGGGGGTGGGGAAGGGGGGGGGGGGCTGTGATTTATTTGATAAATATTAACATAATACCAATACTTCATATTATTGAGAAATATTCAAATGATACTGACCAATTACATCCAGTTACTGCGATCGATGTAGTAGTGCACCAAGGGTCTGCGAAGCCCCGCCAACCATGTTGAAAGGAGTATTTAAAGGCTGGCTTACAAGCGAAATTATGCAAAAACTGGTTTAATAGTGTTTGCCAAAGCTTTGCACCTGACGAGGCATGTGCTTCTCTTTCTACAATCTGTCACAAGACTGCGTTAACTTGGAAAAATAGCGTTTCGGTCATTGTCAGGCCTGAGTAGCACTGTAAGCACATGTTTCCTTTACGCATGCGGCCGAAGCAACAACGAAAAAAAATATATCACCAAAAATTAAGAATAAACATTATAATTGCGTTTCTAATTAAATAATTTTACATCATAGACCTTTTTTCTGTCTTTTATCATCATAAATTTAAAATTGTATTGTTCATTTAGCAATTAATTGGTGAATAATGACGAAAAGATATAAGCGGCAATAATGGGTACTCGACTTCCTGTGTATCGAAGGTCATGGACGAGGTTTATTTTTAGCCCGAAAGTAAGTCGAGAGAGACTTGTTATAAATGAAAAATATCACTTATGTTAATTGAATGAACATTGCAGAGATACATATAGAAATTATTTTAAATAAACTCATATAAAGGATATAACAAAGAAAAATATGGTATTTTTCGGCAATAATGGGTACTATGACGTTAGCTGGATCAACTACATTTTTATAAAGTTGTGTGCTTTATTGGATTTTTATATCAACAATTTCATGAATATATTTTTTTTTTTCAATTTATAAGATTAATAAATAAAAACTTTTAATTTTTATTAAGACTTTGTTTCGAGATCAAATTAAAACACTTTCAGCCCATAACGTTATATATACTTTGATTTATCCTTGCATTGTTACTCATTGTTTGATGTCAATAAGAATTCACTACGTATAGTAATCATGCTAAAAAGATTTTCTTTAAAAATAAAACTACCCTGGAACCCAAAAAAATGTAGAATGAAATTTTGTAAATTAAAAAAAAAAAAAAATGTGTCCTTCGCATTAATCTGCTATATTTCAGAGTTATGGTTAATTTGAAATGGCATATGGAATTACTTTTAACTGAAAAGTTTATACTTTTTTGTTGTAAGATGTTGATCCTTACTATGCGTATTCGTATCTTACTTTTGGATGTGATATCAGGTCCTTCGGATGAGACTGTATAAACCAAAGTACTTTGTCGGTGTAGATGTTAGTAGAAACAATTTTTCAGTTCGTAAGTGCTAGAAAAGGTGTAGAATTATAGCCTTTCGACGGGAAATGGTATCTCAATGACTAAAAGAATATCTGGATCTGACTTAAAGCAAAGAAACAAACTGAAAGCAAAAGTTATGGTTACTCTTGTTACAATTTTCCAACATGCGTATGGTGAGACTTTTTTATGATATCAGATTATGTGTTGATATTTGACTTTTTTTAATTTGTTTTTGGTAAGATAACCAAAATTTCAATTGCGTCAAGAAATTTCCCGAGGATTACAGAAAGGCTTTTATTATGTAAATCATTGTTCTTAAAGAAGTTCTAGTATGAGAGTGATTTTTTTCTGTAATTTAAAATAAAAATGCTTGCACGACTTTTGAATGATTACAATTTTTTTTTTTTTTTTTTTTTTTTAAACATATTTCGTGCTCACTAGATAAACAGAACGACAAAACTTCTGTAGTCGAAATAGTTTCATTATTTTCAAAAGCATTCATTATTCCAAAATCTTCCGTTAGCAAATAAATTAATTACACAACTTCAGCGTGTTGCATAATATAGCATTCTCATTGTTCATCAGTTTCCACACATTTAATATTCATTTTAATGTTTAAAAGTCAAAAAGACGAATGAAAAGTTGAACGCTATAGTCCATCATGTACACGGCAAATATGGTATTTACTTTTCGAACCGTAACTCCCTACAGTGCCTACTTTTTAATACTGTTTATACTCCTAGCATAAGTACGTCAGTCGATATGTATATGCACTTTTGTTTTCCTTATTAATTAATAATTTTTTTTCTCAGTGCTTCAATATCATCTACTAGTACATATAATTAGCGTTAGATAAAAAATCATTTCTGCAAAACGATCTAATTACATTCAGTGGACTTGTTCTCTATGCAGAAATACTATTTAACTTAAATAATCAAAAGGCAGATGCAGATTCATATCACATTAAGTTGATGAGTATCACCTTTAAAAAAAGGATAGGTAATGATTTTACATTGATTAACAACTTATCTTTGAAGGTTCCCCAAAAAATAAGTTCTTGGAAAGTCGTGACTTTAGTAAAATTACTCTTAATTAACAGTTGAATGTTAGTAAATATTCGTAAATGAAATATTATATTATGTTTATAAGCGAGTCATTTTTTTTAAAAATAGATTTTCAACAAGAAGACTAAATTATTAATCTCTGAATGCTCCAAAATAAAGAGCTCGGAGCACGTCAAATTTTGTTCAAATTTTTGATCATTTCTACATTTAGAAACCGTTTTTAAAAAATCGGGAAAAATTATATGATACTGTAGGTTCGAGGAGTAAAATAACCGTTGTCCATCCATTATTTGCTCTAAAAAAGCAAAGCAAAGGATACTCTTTAAGAGTAGTGCAAACATCGGAAGAAACGCGATATCAAACGTTTAAAAGGAACAGCCCGCGGTCATAAAGTATCGTATTGATGTTAAAGATAAAGGCACCAAAAGCAATAATGTGTGATGACTCCTTCATGAAATCATCATCAATTTAAACGTAATTTAATTAACATAAATATCTTTCTTGATGCACGAACGAAACTTTTATATTTCACAAAATACTGCGAACCTATGTAGATTGTACTATATAATTGCTAAAATTATATTTGTTAGACCCCAGGTTAAATACTGGTCAACTACATTAAACATAGATATTATAATAATTAATTCATTTGCAAGAATTCGTCAGCTTCGCAATACTTTTCAAATATCTTCGTACATCTTGAGCTTATGTGTAAATTTTTTTTATGATCCACGGAGTGTATGCCCTTGCAATATATCGATTTATTATGACTTTTCTATTACCCTTCAATGACTCTGCACACAAACATACGAAAGTATCACATGTCTAGGGAATGTAAAGTATATGAATAAAATCATAAAATAGACATCGCATCCAACTTAACGGTCTCTTTTATATCTTCGAATAATATTTTATTTGATAAGAAAATACATTTTTCACTGTATAAAATATGACTCGATCAGCCTCACACTGCATGCATTACGATATGACATCACATTGACAAGTGTGTTGAGATCAGTGATTATTCATATTTTATTGTGTGGGATTTAACTACCGACAAAAATACAAGCAGCAGTAAGTGTTGATGTCTGTTAAAGCTATCCAACAGTTTAAAATAGCAAGAAAAAAAATCATTTCATTTTGTGGTAATTTGAAACACTGATATTTTTTGTGATGTCGTGGGAAACAATTCCCTTATAATTTAGGCCCCGCCTCCTTTTTGTAGCCTTAGCTGTGCTGCGTAATGACATTTCTTGTGCTAGCTTCCATGTTTATGATGATGAAATTTTTGTTAACCTGTGGATTTCTCTCGCTCATTTCTGTAAATATTAAAAAGGAACGAATGCATTCTAATCCGCCCAACAGTGTGGCTTAAAATACTTCAAAGATTCGACAGATCAAACGTCGATAGTTTTTGACCATCCAACAGAATATTGGAAATTGTTTTATTGTAGATTCATATAAAAACAATTTCTAAACGTAAAAAATAATAGAATTTCAGTAGATTAAATCCTTAAGATATTCAATAGTCTTATCGTGATGTTGAACTCTGCACTTGCAAGTGACGCATTTTTTAAATTTAATTTCCTTGTAAATTCCATTTATTCCATGAACAGGATATAACTTCTTAATAGCTTTTAAAAATCAATCATATTTCCTATGCGTTTTTGAAATTACACAGCAGGGATGGGAAATGAAATCGGAAAGAAATATACATTAAATAGAGATTGAAAGAGAAATGAAATGGTCAATTTGCAACACAGCAATTGGAGATATACCTTTCAAGTAATTATTTTATTTTAAAATTACTTTATCTAGCATCAACTTCACAAAGATGCGAACGAGGAATAATTTTTTTTTCTGAATATGCAGGATCCTAAATATTCCATCAATATTTATAAAGCATAAAGTATTTATGAAGTATAAAGCATAATGATCCATTTTTTATGAAAAATATCAGTTCAACCAACGTGCTTTCGTTCGGTAAATACATAATATTGTTGAATTTACATAAAATGTTTGTTCACAGACCTTCAGGAGACATCGTCTGTTCTTACGGGTTCACGTGGATGATACTCTGAAAAATTGCGTCAATATGTACACTGCATTTTGAATAATTTATCATACGCAATCCGTGTATGTGCATTTGTGGGTTCTTCACATTCTTCATTTGTAAGGTTTGCATGTGTCCGGTTGTAGAGAACAGGAAACAACATCAAATGGCCAGTGGACGTTAAATTAATTTCATTCAAATCATTTTTTTTAATTATAATTTCTCTTTTCTTTTATTTTCGTTTATTTATTTTTATTTTATTTTATTTTATTTCAAATGTTCTGAGCAATATAACTCATTCTGAATAATATTACTTCTTACAATTATTAGAAAATGCAGAAGAAAATGAGAAAGCTTTCAAAACTTAAGAAACTGAATGAAGAAAAGTGTTAGGATATAGACTTGTCCATACAATTAATATAAAATGTTATAGAATGAAAGAAAAGTACACCTTTAATCTATTTTTCCCCAAAAAATTATGCAGCTCATTGTAAAGACGAAATTGAAATGCATCATTTCATTGTATTATAATTCGTTTTCCTATATATACTAAAATCATACAACAGTTTGAATTTATAATTCTTTTACTGACTGACAGAGTTATTTCCTTATCAACATTTATATATCTTTCCATGAATGTTTTTCTTTTTCGTTGGTGTCCTTAAGTAGAGGGTACGATTTTCCACCACCCACTGTTTAATCTGCCATTTCTGAGG